AATGTTTTCTACAATTCTTTTAAATTAGTAAAAGCTCTCATTATTTTTTAAATAAAAATTGTTTTAATAAAAGTTTGTGTGGTGGCGATCCATTTTCTAATCCGCCACTGATTGTATACCGTAATATACTAATTTCATACACAGGAGCCCGAAAATCGCTCTTCCCACTTTCGGGAAGCGGCAGGGAAGTAGTCACTTTCGGGCCGCTGGTATGAAAACTCGTTATCGTTCTTGAATGGAAAGCCTTTTGTCTGCCCAAGTTATCATGCATGTATGGATACACGCTGTACACCACTTGAAACGTTCCTCTCTCTTTTTCTTTCGGTGAGTGTGTATGTGTGTGGGCTGCAAAGGAGTGGCCTAAATGAGCTAAAAGGAAATACGCTTTCTGCTTATCTGCCGTTGCTCGCACGAGAGGGAGAGAGATGACTACTCTGATTAACTCTCCTGCACACGTGTCGCGCGCTCGCACGTATAGAGACGAGTTTTCGAAATTTAATTAAGCGTATAGGACGAAACAAGCCCGAAAATAAAACCATACAAAAGTCTAATGAAAACTTTTTCCTATATTTGTTATTGTTGTGAGACGTGTTAATGTATATTCACTCATTGAATACGAAATTATTAATTATTATAAAAGTGCACAATGTATAAAGTAAGAAGAAATAAAAAACTGCAAGTAGTGAGCTATTAGATTTAGTCAGACGCGCGCATATAAAAATGGAATTATGTGCACCGTTGAATAATTCTTTCTTCGACACTTTCTCCTTGGTCGTGGTTCTGTCGAAAATTGTTCGCGTTAGGCAAACAACCGAACGAACAAACAAACAAACAAACAAAAAATATCCCCACAAAGTTCGTAACTTTAATCCGTGATTTTTTCGTCACCATCGTCGTTATCTTTTGCTACGTATGATACATCATCGTACACGACTCGTCCGCAACAAGTCTCGGCCTCGAAATTAAGCTCGAGCAAATCGACTACGCCGTATATGCATGCCAAGTTCAAGTATACGCAAGTATGTTCAACACGCGTCTCTTTTCCCCCGAACGTACATAACGCTTTGCGCGCGACACGAAAAGCTCGCGAGATAATAATCGCGTTATTCCATCTCTCTTACTCGCGAGCTCGCGAGCTCCATACGTGTAAGTTAACAGGATCCGAGAAAACCCCAGAAGAGAAAGAGAGACGTATTGTGGTACAAAGTTCAGTGTACAGTGGTGTCGGCTATATATCTATGTAGCAGCAGCAGCATCAGCCCGCGTGAACTGGGTCAACCGAGCTTTCTCTCGCTCCCACACACACATACAGGTAGACACATACATATACACACGAGCTCGTGAGCTTGCAAGAGCGTAGTGCAGTAGCGGATAGTAATAGTAACGGCCGGCTGCGTCGTATAGCGATCACATCTCCATTGTATACCTGCGAGTTCCTATACTATATAACTACTGCTCTCTCTCTCCGACCAGTGATATCCTTTATTTTCGTATCTTTCTTTTTTTCTTCTCTTTCCATTTTTTCGCACACACACACCCTCTCCAGTCGCCCATCGTTGCATAATTACCATCGTTATAACAATGCAATAATAATAATTGACGCTGTATATATACGGTATATACAACTGCAAAACCACCACCGCTGCCACTGCCGCCGCCACACGAGCTTGCGTAAATATATGATTAAAATACAGTACACCACGGGGCGTACGGACGATGAGTTTTTGGCACGCGTCGCAGCGTATATATGTGTGTGTGGGTGCAGTCGCGCGTGCTCGTTATCGGATTGTTATAATACATACATATATACTCGCTGAGCGAAAACAACCAGCCCGTCAACCTCAGCCTGCCTTATATATAACTGTATACTCGCACGCGTCATTTTGTTGAAGGTATATGTGTGTGTGTGTGTGTGCGTGTGTACACACCGCAAGCTATAATTAAGCAATTTCAAAAGCCCGTCGTCGTTCGGAGCGGAGCAGCAGCAGCTATCTCTCTGCCTCTCGAAATTAATGAGACAAATCGTTTGGTAAATAATTGAAGGAGAAAAAAAAACATTTGAATTAAAAGGCTCTTTATCGTGCTCTCTTTCTCTTTCAATTTTTAATACAAAAACGTAAATATATAACGTGCACGTATCGGAGTATAGAAGTAATAACGGGACACGGAAACGAGACGGTATATACAGCTCTGCGGCTTGTTACTCGATCCTAAATAGAGTAAAAGTTTTTCGGAACTCCGGCCGCCTTTATTTTCGCTAAAGTTGAGAAACTCCTCGGTATATTCACCCCGCGCGCTATTGTAAAGGCGCACACGCTTTGTGCGACGTGTGTATAGTATTCCCCGCAACCGTCTTACGAACTCGAAGGGATTTTTTTCTTCTCTCTTGAGCGGCTTACGATACGCGAATATCGTGGAATATATGCATATAGGTAACGAGAGCTTATTTATATCGTCGCTATATCGTTATATACACCAAGCTCGAAAAGTCACGAATAACAAACTAATACGGAACAACATGACTATTTTACGAGATTCATCCCGAATCGGTTGTTGTACATATATATACAGGTGAGAAGGACGTTGACGTTAATAATAGGATATGGATTATCGATTTATACCCTTTGTGTTTGCTCGAGTTCAAATGTGAAGGCGCCCTTTTCACCTGCGCGAGATATATCAGAGCAGACACCTGCAATCTGCATACGCATATATACACGGTGCTGCACACAGTCGATGAATAAACGAGAGATATCTATCATTCCGTTGCATATTGTAGCGGTCGTAGTAGCGGATAGTAATAGCAACATCGGCAGTAGTTTCGGTACATTCGGTATTATATACAGTCAGACGCGATGGCATAGTTGCGATAATAATGCCTCGAGCTTTTAGGCCCTTTATTCCAAAGACGAAGAATGATTCTCGTTCGAAAATTTCTTCGAGATATATACTCGTCGTCGTCTTCTCGGGGGGTTTCTATTATTCATAAAAATGAAATTGGATATTTAATCGCGAGAAGTAGTCGCGACGAATTTTTATTTTTATTTTTTTTCTCAACCGACTGTCTCTGACACAGCTTAAAAGGAAATTTATCAAGGCGAAGACGATTTCGCTAACGTAAATAAATCAGCGACGCGCGGCAATTACGAATCGCTTCAATTAGCCTTTTCAATTAACGCAGAAAAAAGTTCGACCTCTCTCTGGCTCTCTTGCACAACGCGGCAACTCCGCCGCGACGACGACGACGACGACGACGACGACGACAGACAGACAGACAGATTTGACGAGGTTAATACGGTAAATGAAATGAAGAATAAAAAAAAGAAGAAGAAAGAAATAGAGCGAAAATCAGGAAACAAAAGCAAAGTTTCCTCGCAGCAGCTGCAGCGGAGGAGTCACGATCATCGGCTCGAGTGTACGCGCGATTTAGTTTGCTCATTATCGTTGCCGCCGCCGCCGCTTGCCACGTCGTCTCGTCGCTATTCAACTGCGAGAAAGTTGTATAGTGGGTAGTAGTAGTTAGTAAAACAGAGAAAGAAAAGAAGTTCAACGAAAAAACAATAAAACTTTTTTTTTTTACTCCTTCATCGCCCTTTTCTTATCTTTCTCCCCCTCTGCCTCCCTCCGACGATCGTCGTCGCCTCTTGATAATTGAGAGCTCGGTGCGCGGCTAAGAATATCCATATACCAATTTGTGTACCACACGTTTGACCTGCACTACGCAATATAAAGAAAAATAAAATGACAACAACAATGATGGTATATAAAACAGTATAATACAGGGAATCGTCGTCCGTGTACAAGACTCCATATTACGATCGGACTTGGCTCGAGCTCGCTAAATAAAAAGTCATGCTTCGAAGGGCTACTGCTGCTAATCGTGACCTGGCACGAGGGAGGGAAACAGAGAGAGAGAGAGAGAGAGAGAGACGCCGCAGGACGTTGACACTATTATTACCCTCGGTAAAATACGTATATACGTTGTATTATCGATTGGGTATATTTCCCTCTGTGTGTACTGTATACAATGTAAAATACACCTCGTTGTATATATACGCCAGATCTTGGTTTGCAGTCAAAGGGCGATAAAAAAAATAACTCCGTTTTTTATCATTCGCGTTTATATCTATCCACAGAGACGAAGGGAGATATATGCTTGGTAAGGAGTAGCGCCGAGAGCTATTGCGTATTACACGGACGAAATTGGGGTTTTAGGTACATTCTTGTCGAGTGTCACACGTTACTACCATTGTCATGTGGCTCGTATGTGTCACACGAGGGAGGTAGTCAACACAACGAGAGATACGAGACTTTCTCTTATGTATAAAATGCGAATCGATACTAAACGTGCTCCAAAGATACAGAACGAGACGGATCGAAATTGCGAACTTTTCAAGTGCCTATAACCACAGCAGGGAGATACCGAAGAGCCGCTTGTAATACACACACGTTTATTTTTCATCCAGATAACTATCATAATCGTCAAGCGGAAGAGCGGGGACGTGCTTCAATTTTATTATATATGAAAAAAAAATGTCACGGTTTCGTTGATGCACACACGCACGCGAGCTCCCGTTTCATTCACACGTTTATAATTCCATCGCGTATTCGGTATACGTATAACTTAAAATATGCACAGCGTAATTGAATCGACGCGCGAGTCTTTAATAATAACAGTGATTCCGATAAGCCCCCCTATACTACACCCCCCCACCCAGTCGGCGTATACCGACTTGTACCGAGCCGTATTATACGTTTTATTATACACACATATTACAATTACACGTTGCGCGTGTGTGTGTACAATTGCACACTGCACGTGGACGCCGCGATGATTATCGCACGTGCGCCGTATATACCCGCGATCGTGTGCAATCGCACGCGCGACACGTTGTAACGAAACAAGTATATAATGTAATATAATATACAATGTGATCGCTTGTATAAATTTTCATTGAAACACCGGCGCCTTTCGTTACGCCTGTGTAACAACGACTTACCCCGTGCGCTGTGTATTACGAAGTCGCTGCTATTCGGCGTCTGAGCTATACTAGCCAGCGGTATCACTTGTAACACAACGCGTATATTGGGTGCAGGAATCACGAGATGATGCTCGCTCCACGCATGCACATGTGTGCACTGACTGACACTGATCACTCCGTTTTTGTAATGCTGTACACGTGCTGGTGCTGTGTGTCGCAAATGCAATAGCTCCAGCTTTTGTGCTCCGCACTTTTGCGTAATTATCACTATAATCGAGAGAGATATAAATCGTTATTACCCTACGATCACACACAGTACACACACACACACACAGTCGAGTAGTGAGAGAGAACCTCGCGAATCACTCGAATACGGTTGAATTAACGATGCACACGCGTATACACATACACTACACACGCTTGACACACAGACGTAAACCTATATACGTCGCTGTGCGAGGAGCAACAGTTTACGAGCTCGCGCGCGCGCGCGGGGGGCTGTCAACTATACACAGTTATAACTCCTCTTTGCCCACTGTGCGTATTTTATTATATCTATATTAAATTAATATGTCAGCTGCCACAGTACGATATACGCAAATTGCACGCGTGAGACGAATTTTGCACGTCGTTTGTATAATGTACACGAACGTTTCGAAGCATCAAACGAAACACCGCTACGATGCTATACTATTATTTACTCCCAACGGTGTTGTACAAGCCGTATATATATAACAATGATTACCGCACTCGTATATATCTATATATACGTTTACGTTCTCCACTATATAATGCACTGTTTATACTGGCGACTCGTTGACACAAACGGCCGTGCGTTTGTTATATATCACTATATATATCTCGTGCTCGTGTCGTCGTTGTACTGATGCACCGACGACGGACGATACAACGTCTCCCTTAGTCTGGATAATCGAGGACAGCGGTTGTTGGACGAGCCCGCGTACGAACGATGCTGTACGGCCCTGCTGCAATTGTTATCGTTCCAAAGTCGACGGTTACGCGTTGTTGCGCGTTCGACGCTGCTGCTACGATAACTACTACCAGTAGCTGTTACGGTGCCGTCGCGCGAAGAATGCATGATGACAATAACGATGAAGCTTCTTCGTCAACGTGACGGAGTCGCATGAGAGGTTCTTTTTCAGTTGCTGCTGAGCAACGATCGAATCGTACGAAGCAGCGGCTGCCTCGAGAGCTTACTATACTTGTTATATACTCGTAAGCTCATCCGCCAATTGCCTTCGTTACTATATAGACACTCGATCATTGGGAGTTGAGGCCGGCCCCTCCGCTCCTCGCTCCTGTGTGTGTTCGTTCGTTTCTGGACATGTAAATATCCCTGGGTATACGATAACGCACGATATATAATATAATAAGGACGTGCAGCTCTACGTCGACGACGACGTATGCTGCACAGCCCGCGCGCACCACCACTGAAACTACTGCCTACTTCGAGACCGTGCACAGGTGCCAGTTCTATGTATCGGTTCTATATAACATATATATCTATATATACGAAACCACGCAGCGCCGCGAGCCTGGCAGTCGTGTATATGGCACACAGTGCACAGGCAGTTTTGCGTTGAGATGCGCGCAGCACCCCCTCGCGGGCGCATGCGTCGCTCGCGGACTAGCAGCAGCTCTCGTCTAGTTCGCTCCTCTCTCTCTCTCTCTCTTTCTCTCTTTCTATCTTGCCGAGTTTATATATATATATAGGGCGATTCACGTAGTAGAGCCTCGTGCATACACACACACACATATATAGGCTGGTATAGAGAGTAAGAGAGTAAGAGAGAGAGGAAAGTTCGCGATTCTCGCGCCGATCTCGGCCGTGTCATGCTGCTGCTGCTGCGCAGCGAGAGAGAGAGAGAGAGAGATTCGTGTGTTGAACGTCTAGGGAAGCTGGGTCACTGGGTTGCAGCAGCAGCGTTGGGTTTTATATATGTATCATGTGTATATACCTATATATATAAAGTCACCGAGCTACAAATGTGTAGTGCACTATATATAGGTTGTATGTATGTGTGTGGGTGTGTGCGTTATAGAGAATGAGGATGGTGGTGGTGGTACTGTATATTATATCGTCACCCCGCAAGGTGCAGAAAGGTTTGTCGTTTTAAATTCTTATAGGCCGAACGATCGAACAATAGCTTAATAAATTTGTTCGAGTCATTACAAGAGTTCGATCCAATCTTAAAAAATTTTCTCACGGCATTTGAAATTATTTAATTTGCTATTTTTGCCCATTTTTTCATAATGTTCCACCAGTGAGATAGAATCGAATTCCGAGCTTAATGACATCGCCCCAGTGGTTTTGCTCACTTCAAAGTAATTACTTTCAAAAATTCAGAAAAAAAAAACATTGCGCTATTTCATATCTGTTGCGGAAAAAATTTGGCGAGCTTAAGATCAATCTGCATTTTTGTACTCGTTTTGACGCTATTAAAGTATTTACGGGGTGCGTGGATTTGTCATCACTGAGATACAGTCGTTTCTCCTATCGAGGGAACTAGTCCGGGCGCTGGTGACATTTTAGTGAACTTGCGAGATCCCCTCGGCGAGTTGACGGATTTCTATGTTTTTTGGTCAATTTTTTGTTTTAAACAAATTAATTGTTTAAACGGACATATCTTGTAAAATATTGAAGATAGATTGAAACAATTTGTTTTTATTTCATTCATCTTCAAAACAAAGAAATTCAATTAAATTAATTGAAAATCCGTCCACTAGAAAAAAAGTTATGCAATAATTAGTGTAAAATTCCTAGAAATACGTCTTTTTTCATCTTTCAACCTCTGTAACTTGGCTCGTTTTGGTGCGATCGAGCTCATCGACGTCTCATTTTAAAGGTAATAGCCTACAGAATGATGTAAAATAATTTTTATGTTAGTCAAATTGTTTATATTGCAGTCTGTAGACGTGTATAAACGTAATTTTATGGCTCTGACGTACTTTCCATTTGTTTATACGCGTTTTTTTGCTGAGATAAATTATTAAAGCAACGTGGCAACTCAGTTCAAACGAAAGTACATCAAAAAATTGAAAATTTTAAGCTGTTTTGAAAAGGTAATCGGCCAAGTAGACGCCAAGTTACAGCCTTCTGAGTTTGAGCGTAGAAACGAGCGAGCGCTTAGAGCGCGCACACTGAGGCAACAGGCAACAGCTTATGCTATATGTGTCGTCCTACGATAAACAACCAAACCCGATTCATGAATACGCTCACGCAGATGTGCTAGAGCGAGAGAGAGAGACGCAGAGGTACACGACATTACAGGGCCGTTTACATCTACTATATATAGGCACGAGTGGCCCCCACTAGAATTACACTTTGTAACCGCCATCGAATCGAATGAATTCTAATACTGTACATAGCTCGAGCTATATTTAAAATCGTATTGAATACGCACATCCTATTCAGTACACGTTGTAAAGCCACAGAATGAACAACTAAAAAAAATGTCATCGTTTGCATCTAGTTGTTTTCGCTAACAAAAAAACAAAAATTAAAAATATCTCAAATTATTGACAATCGTAGTGGGTTGTAAGTGAGTGCGTCATCAGTGAGTTCATTGAGTGATCTAAACAATGTCCGAGTCCGACGAATTTTTCGAGGAAGTGAAGAGCTTGCGCAAAAATTTCAATTTGGAAATCTTTGAAGAGCGATACAAATTTCTCTGTAAACTCGAACCTTTGATCTCGTCGGGACAACTCGCGAAGAGTATAAATGAAATTTTTCAGCCGAGTGAAATGGACGATCTCATCGCGACCTCGGTGCGCGACAGAATGACAAACGGCAGCGCGGGAAGAACATTCATCGATTTCATAATTCGAATCGGCTACAAAGACGAGCCCAGAGTCGACGCGGAGGGCAAGCCAATTTCGCATTATCGCGCGACACCGTTGCATCGCGCAACCAAATACCAAGGCGCTCGTAGCGATCCCGACGCGTTCAGATGTTTGTTCGAGATATACGACGACGCGTTCGACGCGAATCACAGCGACGAGGACGGATTGACGCATTTCCATGTGGCCTGCCAGTTCGGCTGCGACGAAGCCGTAGAGAGATTCCTCGAGCTCGGCCGGGTGGATCCCGATCGGCCGGTGCCGAAAACCGGCGATTCGCCGCTGCACTTGGCCGCGGCGGGTCATTATTGCGGCGTCTCCGCGAAAAAGATCTACCGAGCGCTGCTGAAACACGGCGCCGATCCGAACTCGATCAACGAGCGAGGTTCGACCCCGCTGCAAATTTTATGCGGCTCTTTCGATCGCGATAAATCCAAGCTCGAGTTGGCGAAGATACTGCTCGAGGTCAGCGAAGAAAATCATCGAGCGGTAACGGTCGACGCTCGGGACGATTCGGGCATCGTACCGTTAATCCACGCGATCGACGCGGGCTCCGCAGAGTTGACCGAGATGCTGCTGAGGAGAGGCGCGAATCCCGACGCGGCCGACGACGGGGGCACCACGGCCTTGCACGCCATCTGCGAGAAATGGAACGCCGCGAAATCCTTCCAGTTCTTGCGGCTGTTCTTCGAGATAAACGACGAGAGAGATCGGGAGGTGCGGGTGGACGCGCGAGACAAGTCGGGCCGGACGCCGCTGCACCGGGCCCTGGATCGCGGCCACTGGAGAACGGTCGAGTCGCTGCTGCGTAGAGGATCGGATCCGAACTCGGCCGACAACGACGGACGGACCGCTCTGCACGTTATCTGTCAGAAAGACGGCGATGTACTACGACGCGCCGCGGATCTGCACAACGAGATGGCCAGGATATTTTTCGAGACCAGCGACGAACGGAATCTAAGGTTGCGCATCGACGCCCGCGACAAGTTGGGCAGGACGCCGCTTCAGCTGGCCGTGGCGAATCTCAAGCCGAGCCTGGTCGACGAGCTTCTGAGTCGTGGCGCCCAACCCGCCGGCTTCGTTGCTCCCAACGAGAGTCAATTCCGCACGATCGAACCTTGGGATATGAGCGCGAGATTAAAAAAAGTGACGGACGCGTGGACCATTATCGACAGCCTCGAGAAGGCGGGCTACGAGTTGGACCGTAGCGACGCCCTGACGCTCATGAAAACCTTCCACAAGTACGG